ATAGATTATAGAGCATGGGCAGAGTAGATTTGGCAGTTTTTATTTATTTATTTATTTTTGATGGCTGGCTGGTACAGGGATCTAAACCCTTGACCCTGGTTTTATAACTCCATGTTCTAACAAAATGAGCTAACAAGTCAGCCCCAGATTTAGCCTAATTCTTAAGGGCCCTAGTATTTTCAGATGGTAAATGAGCATTGGCTTCAGCCTAAAGTCACCAACTGCATTTGCCCCTAACAAGAGAGTCAGCCTGTCTTTTGAAGCTTTGAAGCTAGGCATTGACTTTTCCTCTTTAACTATGAAAATCCTAGATGGCAGTTTCTTCCAGTATAAGGCTGTTTCATCTACATTGAAAATCTGTTGTTTAATGTAGCTACTTTCATTGATTTTCTTAGCTAGAACTTCTGGATAACTTGCTGCAGCTTCTACATCAGCACTTTCTGCTTCACCTTGCACTTTTATGTTATAGAGAGGGCATCTTTACTTACACCTCATGAACCAACTTCAGATTTTTCTTCTGAGGTTCCCTCACCTCTCTCAGGCCTTCATAGAGTTGAAGAAAGTTAGGGCCCTGCTCTGGATTAGGCTTTGTCTTAAGGGAATGTTGTGGCTGGTTTGATATTCTGTCCAAACCGCTGAACTTTTTTCCATATCAGCAACAAGACGGTTTCGCTTTCTTATCATTTGTGTGTTCACCAGAATTATCACTTTTAATTTCCTTCAAGAACTTTTCCTTTGCATTCACAACTTGGCTAACTAGTGCAAGAGACCTGCTTTTGGCCTGTCTCAGCTCTTGACATGCCTTTCGCACTAAGCTTAATCATTTCTAGCTTTTGATTTAAAGTGAGAGATGTGTGACTCTTCCTTTTTCTTGAACACTTAGAGGCAGGCCATTGTGGGGTTATTAAGTGGCCCAATTTCAATATTATTGTGTCTCAGGGAATGGGGAGTCCTGAAGAGAGGAGCAAAATGGGAGAAACTGCCAGTCAGAGGAGCAGTCAGAACACAAACAACATTTATTAAGTTCATCTTACATGGGTGCGATTCCTGGTGCTCCAAAACAGTTATAATGGTAACATGCAAGATCACTGATCACAGATCACCATAACAGATATGATAATAAAAAAGTTTGACATATTGTGAGAATTACCAAAATGTGACACACAGATGTGATGTGAGCACATGCTGTTGGAAAAATGGCGCTGATACACTTGCTTGATGCAGGGTTGCTGCAAACCTTCAATTTGTGAAGTGCAATAAAGCAGGGTATGCCTGAACTTAGTTCTATAAATGGCTTTTATGTTATACCATTGTCCAGTCTGTGAGACTCTATTCTCTTTTACCTTCTTTTTTTGAGATATACTGTGCCTTCAGTGATTTCATTATTGTGGGGCACTTTCTGTTTGTATACTAGTTTGTAAACAGAGCAAAAATTTCCTAGGACATTTAAATATTTGTTGATTGAGGAAGAAAGATACCTTAGGACTTTCACACTTTTATTTACTTTCCTTCTCTCACTCAGAAGTCTGATTTTTTCTGAATTTCTGGGTTCGTTTGCCAAAGTTGTCCATGTTGCCTGGAGGTTTTTGAACTATGGATTTGGGTGGAAATGAAGAAGAACATTATAGTTAATTAAGGAAGGCTTCAGGAATCTTTAGGAGATGAAACAGAAAACTAATCTTTAATTCTCATACTTTTGGTTAGAAACTTCAGAGAAAGGTTCTTCCAACCAATTGTTGCAACTTTTAATTCATTCTCAGTCTTTTATAGATCTGCAGTTTATTTTTTCCCCAGTATAGCTCTGGAATTAGTATGTTTTCTCTTTCTCATAAGGATCTCTCTAGATGTTCTGTTACGTCCCAACTGTTCTTTCATCTCATCCACTCTATATTTTATTACCTTTATGGCTCTTATTTATGTTTGATTTCTATTCCTCATGATTTCAGTTTGTTCACACTCAAGTCCTGACTTCTTCCTGGCACATTTATGCATTCTTTAATCCTCAGTGCCCAGTTGTTAACTACCTTGTTTTCTTAGTATTCATTGTTAACATTACTGAGAGAAGATATTTGATTGATCTAGTTCTTTTTTTTTTTAATGTATAAGAATATGCCATAGGTCATTGGGATATCTATAATTATCAGATTTTTTGTTAGTTGCTCATCTCTACTTCAACTGGATTGTGACTGGAGATTGAAGGGCACCCATTCTGCAGAGTCTGTGGCATATCAAAAAACATAGTTTACACGTCTAGCAGAATTTGTAATTCTTATACTAATCTTATACCTTACTTTATACAATTTGGTATTGCTTTAGATGTTGTGCATCCTGCTTTTTAATATTTTTATATTAAAGTTTTTTCTTCTCATGAGTTTTTGGTTATGAATATATGATGTCAAAACAATTGAAATAATACAGTACAAAGGTATATAAAGGCATCATTCTCCACTTCTTTATCTGATGTAATTAACATTTATAGACTGATGGGTATCCTTTCACACTTTACTCCTTACATAAATGCTTAGTTTGTTTTCACTGAAGTAGAATCACTACATATAGTATTCTGGTATATATTTTTTCTTCTCAAAAGTTATAAAATAGCCTTAGAAGTCTGTAGATACCTTCCATGTTTGCATTCCCCTAACTTCTTTATATAGCCCATATACACACATATTTATTTACATAAAACCCAATCGTAGATATTTGGGGGGAAGGGCCATTTGTTTTTATTTTTTTTTTCTTTTAATTCTTTTTAGCTTGGCTCTCCATCATCCCTTCTCCTTACTACCCCCCCCACCCCCAGTTAACATGGTAATCCATGTTAAAACCTGCTGGATATGCTTTTCTCCAGTTGCTCCAAAAGTGTCTTTTATGGGTGTTTTATCTTGAAAGAGAACCCATATGAGGGCTGGTTGGTTAGCTCTGAGTTAGTTAGAATGTGATGCTAAAAACACCAAGGTCCAGCGTTCGATCCCTGTACTGGCCAGCTGTCAAAAACAAAAACAGTCCAGTCGAAGTTCACTCATTGTATTCAGTTGTTACGTCTGATTATTATGATCTAGAGCAGTTTGCCCACTCTTTTTTCCCCCTTCGTGCCCAACTTTTTGAAAAATCTTGCCCAGTTAACTTATAGAATGTCCTCCATCTTGGATTTGCTTGATTATTTTCTACTGATGTTATTTAACTTGTTCCTTATTGTCTGTCTTTTCTGTGAATTGAAAATTAGCTAGAGAGGCTTGATTAGGTACAGGTTAAACATTTCTGGAGAAAATATGGCATTGGTGATGTTAACGATCTTTATATTGCATCACATTAGGAAACAAATAATGTCAGGTTGTTCCACTATTAATGCAGCTAAGTTAGGTCACTTGTTTGAGTTGGTGATCTCTAGATGTTCATATATCTGCTGTAAAGGAACATTTTTCTGTTTGTGATTAGTAAATAATCTTGGGATGATACTTGATGACCATGTGAATATCCTATTTCCTAGCATATAGTGGTTTTAGCATTCAGTAAAGACCGTTGCTCAAACCAGTTATTACATGGGGTGTTGTAATATGCTAATTTTCCAATTTTATCATTTCTTCTGCATTTATTAGATGGCTTGATATTATTCTTCTGTAAAGAACTTATCACTATTTTAATTTTGATGTTATCATGGCCTTACCAGTTGTTTTTATTTTTTCAATGTCTTATAACTAGTCATTCTCTTTGATGTACAATTTACCAAATTTGGCCGGTGATTGACCATTCTAGCTGGCTCATCTCTCCTTTTGACATGACTCTATTCTTTAAAAAATGGCTGTATATTACTTCAATAATATAGATGCAGTATGTGTCTATTATTATGCATGATGGACATTCATTTTATTTTCAATATAGTTGCCACTACAAACAACAGTAAAACATTCTTGTACATATATTGTTTTATACCATTAGCAGATGTTCTTAAACACCTCTGTGAAATATCCGTATTTATTTTACTTTATTCTAATAAAGATACCTGCTACTACAGGTATTCTTTTTATCACTAGGAATAGTAGTAAAGTAGCACCATTCCTCCCCCACCTTACATAACACTTCACACTGTCATAACACCCTTATTTCCTTTAGAGCACTTACCGTTATCTCACATTATTTTTATTTTTTATTTATTAACTTACTTATTGTGTTCAAACATAGTATGTAAGCTCTCCGAAGCAAGACCTTATCTTTTTTTCTTCACTGCTTATATACAGGTAGTTAAAAATGACATATAATAGGAATTTGACTTAATGAATTATTGAATGAGTGAATGGATGGCTGTCCTACCTAAATTTCCCACGAGTCTCAATTAAAAAAATGTTTTTGTCTGTTAATATCCTTTTAAAAAAATTTAATAAGGTTTCTCAACCTGTTGACAGATAGAATGTAACTCTAGACTTGATTACTTGAAAAATGTCCAGATTTATCTTTGTAATCATAAGTAGGTTATTGACATTTTGGGAGCTTTTTTTTGAACTAAAAAGTATAAAATTTGAAAAGTAAGGGTTTATGGAAATACTACTGATTCTCTTTGAAAACATAATTTTTTTTTTCCCTGAAGTTAGTAACGAGCTTTTCATTTGATATTACAGACATGCAAATCCTTTTTTGGGTCTTATTGGATAGTAGATACTTGGATGTAAATTACTCTTGGGGGTTCTTGGGTTATCTTTTTGAGTATGAAAACATTTTCAAAATACTCTTGGGAACAATAATTACGTAACATAATACTTTCTTTGCAGAGATATCCAGTTTATTTTTAGGTAGTAGAAGGGATACTATTTGAATCTGGGGATCTGAAATAACCTGGCTTATATACATAGGAATTTAAAAAATTATTTAATTCTACATAATACAGAATTTATTTCATAGATATACTTATATTAACTTGGTTTAGTAAACCTTTACATGGTACTTATATCTAGAGATTCTAAAAATTAAATAGTGATTGATATTATTACTACTTTATGTTGCAGAATGTGCCCATTTACTTTTGGCTCACAATGCTCCAGTAAAGGTGAAAAATGCTCAGGGATGGAGCCCTCTGGCAGAAGCCATCAGCTATGGAGATAGACAGATGAGTAAGCAATATGAATTACTGTTTTTGATATATATTCTAAAAATATGAAGTGATGCATTTAAAATATTTTTAATTTAGTATAACTTTCCTTACTGTGAACCTTTGCAGTTATCTGTAAACATATACATGAATTATTCATGACTTAACTTGAACATTGAGTAGAACACAAAAAGAATTGAGGAATTATGTTTAAAAGTATGTTGTTTATTATTTCTTTTCCTTTTGTAGCATTCTGTCTTATTTAAATTTTTAAATTTTTTTATTCATCCAGTACAAAGGACTTTTTTCTAAGCTGAGATCTGACTGTCCTTTCTGGCAGCTGCTTAATTGTTTGGATCATTAACTGCAACTAAAAATAATCATGGTGTTATAACAGTTATCTGCTTTAGTTGCTGGATATAGGCTTTGCTGGAGTCAAGAAACAAAACTTTCTTTATTTTGTTTTAGTCTTGAAATGAGTATTTCCAAAACATGTCACATACTTTTTCATAATATACAGAGTATTCAGTTACTTCACTTTCCCTCCTCCTATCCATACTTTTGTTTCAGCTTCACATATGTCTGTTTTTGCCAAGTACATCTCAATAGTTGAAAAATTTATGAAACATAAATTTGGATGAATAGAACTATCTTTCTGGTAATATTATCTTTTTATTTTTCATAATATAAATATTATTTATATTTATTTTTCAGTTTGAGGATGAAAATGATCAATTAAATCTAGCTTTGTAAAAGGAAATGAAAATGTCGGCAGTTTTCTTAAGGAAGTGCATAACGTTGAACGTTCCCAGGTGTTACAACATCAATTCAGTGGTTTTTTTGTTTTGTTTTGTTTTGTTTTTTTTTGTGGCTGGCCAGTAAGTGGATCCGAAGTCTTGACCTTGGTGTTATCAGCACATGCTCTCCCAAGTGAGCTAATTGGCCAGTTTATGTATTCAATCTTATTTTGATGCTAAGTTTTGGGTTCTTCTGGGCACTTTCTTATGGTTCAACTTTATTTGTAATCCACATATTATATTTTTGTGGGCTTTCTGAACTCCTTGGACAACTTTTTTTTTTTCCCCCTTGGACAAGTTTTAATGGTAAAGTTGTATTTGAGCGTAAGATTTAATGAGAGATAAAATTGTGATATTTTAATAACTAAATGAGTATGTATGTTTTTTGTTATACATTGACAGTTATTTTTTCTGGACAGACATTAGGAGACCTTTATGAGAGCAGTACTAATCTTAGAATAAATTCAGGGGGAAAAATGTGTAAATTCAAAATAGACTGAGAATGAATGAAAAGTTGCAACACCTGGTCTGAAGAAACTTTTTCTGAGTTTTCTAACCATTTAGCAGAGTGGAGAGGAAATGAGATGGGCTTCTGAGTTTCTGACCCACCGTGAGACTTTTGTGAATTTTAAGGATTATTTTGTTCAGAATCAGTGAATATTTACTGAGTCCTTACCGTAAAAATGCATGTGTATTAAAATGTGGCAAACAAAAACATGGTCTTTGCTGTTTAGGAATTCATAGTCTATTGGGAAGGCTAAGAAATAAGATTTTCATGGAAAATCAGTTACAGATATTTAGCAATGAATTTTTTTTTTTTTTTTAAAAAGATAACCGGTAAGGGGATCTTAACCCTTGACTTGGTGTTGTCAGCACCACGCTCAGCCAGTGAGCGAACCGGCCATCTCTATGTTGGATCCGAACCCGGGGCCTTGGTGTTATCAGCACCACACTCTCCCGAGTGAGCCACGGGCCGGCCCCTTAGCAATGAATTTTAATGTGAGAGATTGAGGCCTATATAGTTAAGGTGTGGTCATAAAGTGACTTTCCTATATAGAGTGATATCTTAGCCATTCTCAGTAGTATCCCACTGTCACCATTATATAATTACAGTTTACTCTTGAACAACATGGATTTGATCTGTGTGAGTCCACTTATATTTGGATATTTTTCAACCAACCACAGATCGAAAATATGGTATTCGTGAATGTGGGACCCCTGTATATAGAGGGTTGATTTTTCATATCCTTGGGTTCTGAAGAGCAGACTATGGGACTTGAATATTCCAGGATTTTGGTATGTGGGAAGGGTTGGGTGGGGAGGGTGCTGGATCCAGTCACCCACAGATACCAAGGGACTACTGTATATATCTGTAATTATTCAGTGCTTACATTTTCATTACTTGCCATCACATGAAACAAATACTTAGCTAATAACTTAAAGGGTAATTAATCAAACAATTCTTATGGTACGTATTTATAAATACTAATGTAAATGTATTTATAATGGTGTTAAACATATGTCTGTACTTTGAAATTATTTTAAGTACTGTGATTTAAGTTTTTGATTATTTTTACATGTATTGATCAAATCAATATTATTAGCAAATCCATCATTACAAATCATAAATATTCTTTATGCCCCTTACGCAGTCTCTCCCCAACCCCCTTCTCCCCCCCCATCCCACCTCTAGTAACCATAGATTTGTTCTGTCCTCTGAAAGATCAGTGTATTATTGAGGGCCTGCCTTCCTTCCTTCCTTCCTAGCATGCACTTATGAGTGAGAACATGTGATATTTCTCTTTCTGTGTCTGGCTTATTTCTGTTTCTGGCTTATTAAATAATAAAAAAATTATTTAACATTTTTTTCCAAGCTCATCCATGTTGCTGCAAATAGTAGAATTTCTTTCTTTTTTTTTTTTTTAATGGCTGAGTGGTATTCCACTGAGTATATATACCACATTTTCCCTATCCAGTTGTCTGTTAATGGACATTTAGGTTGGTTCCATATTTTGGCTATTGTAAATAGAGCTGTGATAAATATGAGAGTGCAGGATGGTTCATCATACACAAGTCAATACACCACGACAAAAACTATGATTATCTCAATAGACACGGAAAAAGAATTCAACAAAATTCAACATCTCTTCATGATAAAGTCTCTTAGCAGATTAGGTATAGAAGGAAAGTATCTCAACATAATAGAAGCCATCCATATATGACAAACCCACTGCCATGTCATCCTGAATAGAGAAAAGCTGAAGGCTTTTCCCTTGAGAACAGGAAGAAGACAAGGATACCCACTGTCAGGTGTTTGATTATTTAGCTTGTGTCACATTAAAATTTTCTGGACATAGAAGATTCCACTTTTGAAAAAATCAGAGATACACTAATATTATAAATTATTAGCAAAAATTTTGTGGCTTATTTATCTTTTTTTCTGTTTTCTGATAATCTTGCTAATGTTCTTGTGCTATAGAATAGTCAGACAATGCTAAACTACTTGTTAGAGACTATTGAGAATAATTTTACTTTAAAATTAATAAAATTTCAAGATTTTGTTGCTTTTCTGCCACCTGGTGAACAGTGATCAGCCCAGGCCGATATCAGGGAGAGATATGGATATATTTTACAAGTCTTTTCCCAGCTTATCTCTCACCCATGGTCACCAGCTTTCCTCTGATCTAGACAGCTCTAGTGAGTCTTGTGCACACTGGGATCTAGTTGTCTTTTGTCTCTCCAGGAGTTGCTCACAGTTTGTACAGATTCATGTTATAGTAGTTTTGGGAATTCCATCAACCTCTGTCTTATTTTTGTGGCACATCAAAGGTTAGTGTGGAGGGGAAGAGTCCATGTTGGTTTCCAGCCTTATCTTGAATGACAGTCTTCTTCATTTAGGTTTCAACTTTATATTTCTTTCTGAGAAATCTTTCCTCAACTCCTGGAGCAGATAAAGTTCTCATTGTCATATATTTTCAAAGTGGTCTATTCTTTTCCTTTGTAGTACTATAGCATACTTTTAATTCATTGTTTAGTGTGTGTTCCCTATTCTGTATCTCGGTGATGTAAGCTTTGTGAGATCTCGAGTTATGTATATGTTTCTTACTCACCCTTTTCTGTTTGGCACATATTTGTTCAGTGAATTAATGAAGAAATGAATAAAAACTGCAAAGAGAATTTGAGACTATTTATCAAGAATCAAAATTCTCCCTAAAAGAATAGTTAGCTCTCTGTATCCGTGAGTTCCACATCTATGGATTCAACCAACTGTGTATTGAAAATATTCAGAAAAAAAAAAATTCCACATAGTTCCAAAAAGCAAAACTTAAATTTCCTGCACAGCAGGTACTACGTTCAATCTATGCAAATGCAGTTTTGCGTAGGCATTGTATTGGGTGTTATAAGTAACCTAGAGATGATTTAAAGTATACAGGAGGATGTGTGTAGGTTTTATGCAAATACTGTGCCATTTTATATAAGGGACTTGAGCATACTCAGATTTTGGTGTCTGTAGGGAGTCCTGAAACCAATCCACCACTGATAATGCGGGGCAACTGTATTGTATTAGGACCTTTATTTACCACAACTCTCCTGAGTTTTCAAAACTTCCACGTATTTACAGCCAGCTGATCTTTGACAAAGGTACCAAGAATATACATCGGGGAAAAGACTGCCTCTTCAGTAAACGGTGCTGGGAAAACTGGATATCCATTTGTAGAAGGATGAAACTTGATCCGTACCATTCACCATATACCAAAATCAACTCAAAATGGATTAGAGACCGAAATATAAAGCCCGAAACTTTAAAACTCCTAGAAGAAAACGTAGGGGAAATGCTCCAGGATTTAGGACTGGGCAATGACGTTATGAATAACACCCCAAAAGCACAGGCAACAACAAAAAAAAATAAACAGACGGGATTATATCAAACTGAAAAGCTTTTGCACAGTAAAGGAAACAATCAATAGAGTGAAAAGACATCCTACAGAATAGGAGAAAATATTTGCAAAGTATACATCTGACAAGGGATTATTATCCGGAATATACAAAGAGCTCAGACAACTTTCAGGCAAAAAACCAAATAATCCAATTAAAAAATGGGCAAAGGAGCTGAATAGACATTTCTCAAAGGAAGACATACAAATGGCAACAGCTATTTGAAAAAATGCTCAACATCACTAATCATCAAGGAAATGCAAATCGAAACCACTTTGACATATCACCT